CCCCCCCCCCCCGCAGCGCCGCTCCCTGCCAAGAGAGAGAGACCAGCCACAGAGCCCTGGAAACAAAGACCACCCGGGAAGCGCCTTAATCCATACAGAGGCCCATGGAGCAAGGAAGATACCCGACTCCTCTCCGGAGGCAAGGAGCCAACCAGCATTACATACCAGGACCCCACTCCTTCTTGTTACCGACTGCCATCAGCAAGGGCAGACGGGCACCCCGGCACCCTGCCCTCCCCCACCAAGCATTTTAATAGCTTTTCACTGTTTCAAATTCAAACCCCAGCCAGCCATGCCTACTCTTTTATTTTTGTTTGTTTAACTATCAGGGCTGACCACTACCCAGATATCACGGCCCACTTTAGCACCCAGCAGCCAACAGGTCCTATACCTCTGAGAAGCGGGAGACTAGGCAAAAGTCTAGAGGGAAAGCAGGGATGTCTTCTACAAGGCAGAACCTCTTGCTTTGTTTTTCCCAGCCGAATATGAGTGGACTGCATCCATTTAAAACCAATACACACGGTTTAAAATCCAAGGGCCCTTGGGGTGCTCAATCTCACTCGGGGTGGGGAGCCTTGGGGGTACGACGGAAAGAAGACAGAAGAGGGAGAAGAAGGCCTCAAGCCTTCTATAGGGAAAGTGTAAGAGTTCTACAGCCCAGGCAGGGAGAAAAGACTGGCAAGTCTGTCTTGCTACAGTGCCACAGCAGACATCTGGGAGGGAATCAAAAGTGAGGATCGATCCACAGGCTAGATCAGGCCACTGAGGCCGTGCCTCTCCCCACCTCCCCCCTTCGGCCATCCTCAACCGCTTCCTCATGACCTGCATCCCCTGTTATAACCGCCACCCTTCGATCCAACACTTCTGCAAACAGACACTGTAAAAAAAAAACCAGAGCAGTCATCACATCTAACGGCGATCCAATGCCCCCCCCCCAAAAAAATCTGCAACTGGCATGCTCCTAAAAAACCAGGTTTGCAGAGAATATGAAATCCCTACCCAAAGTAAACAATGACACCTTGGGTTGCCTAGCTGCCGGGAAATGAGAAGAATGGAGAATAAAATGTTGACAATTGGCTGGGGGGAGGGGGGGGAGGGGAGGCCTGGGCAGGTGG